GTGTGTGTGTGTGTGTGTGTGTGTGTGTGTGTGTGTGTGTGTGTATATATATATATATATATATATATATTTGTTGTTTTCTATTACTACCAATATTTTGCTTCTTCAGGGTTAATACACACATACATACACAAGAAATTAATAGAAAAACTTTTTGATAATCAAATATAAGAAATTAAAAGTGTATGGACTTAGTAGAAACTTACTATTACCTAATTTGATTTACAAAAATTCATATAATTTAATATTTCTATTACTTTCTAGGGAATAAAATTTACAAAACTTGTTGTAAGACATGGTTTTAAAAAGCATTAAAAATACTTCCTTTATCTTAGATTTCTTTCTGTTGTTATTGAGCAGAATGTTCCATTTTATATATCCAGTTAATTTGAACATCACTGATATTCATTAACATATCTCTTTCAATGCTTTATTTTGCCGATTGAAGTAGTGATCATAAACCATAAGAAAAAATGGCAAAAACTAAAAAACTTGTCACTAACCCAGGACCCCATCTTTCAAAATGATGTTATTGTTACCTTTGTCAGGCTAGGTATCAAAATTTTTGCTAATAAGATCAATTTATATCCAATAAATAGTTTTATTTGTGTGTTGTATGAATATGATAGTTAGCAAAATACTCAATAGGGGGTCTGAGTCATCATAATATTTTGCTTTTGCACACTGTACATAATCTAACTGATAATGGTTGGAGACGGCTTGAATGGGTAATGAAGAAAAACTTTAATATAAGTTTAACATAACAGCAAATGTACAACATTTCGACAAGGTTTTGTCATCATCTAACTGAGATTACCTGATATTTGTCATAGAAGAAAATGTGTGTAGCTTTCATATATATACACACACACACCTCTAATAATAAGAAAATGTCTAAAAAATCCATACAATATGTGTGTGGTTTGTTCCCAAGTCTATTAAACTTTCCCATTAAGGTTCTTTATTGACCCAATAGTTATTTTCATTAGTAACATGTCTGGACCACATGCTGTGATATAAAATGGCGACAATGAAAGAGCTATAACAATAAGACAACTAACAGAGAAAGAAATCATGTGAAAAACAAGATGTTCACCATATTTTTAAGGGATGATAATTTTAGCAAATATATAAGTACCTACCTTTGGATGGATTTAACAATTTCTAAAAAATCTATAAATGCATTATTTACAGGCAAGGTAATTCAGAGCTGAGTAGAAGTGAAAGTTGGGAAAAAAAATTTCCACTTTCCTTTGTAAATTACCTTAAATAAATGTTACGTAATGTAAATATGTCAATTATAAAATATTTTTGAGTTCAAAGTTGTAGAAATATTTAAATTATTATTCATATTTAAATTTTAAAATGCAGTTGTGCACTTGGTATCTTAAATTTGCTAACAGGTCATGATAGAATTAAAGATATATTTGTAATCAAAGTTCTATAGGAATAAGTGATGAACAATTTCCTGAGCTTAGATAGTCTTGCAACCATGATGTTAATGATTATGAAACTATCATCCTCAATAGATTCTATAATTTATAGGGATTGAGAAAAAAAAACAACAATTAATAATGAAAATTAGAAATTACAAAAACTAGTGTTATTTCAAATGTCTACAACTATTTTTTGAATTGCAAATGTTATATTTAATTGCTAACAATGTAAAAAAATATCACCAAAAAACTATAATCACTTTTGGCTATTTATTTTTATGTAATCTTTCTGATTGGTTTATGTGATACCAAAATTTAAGTGTTAGAGAACTGTCATAATGTCTTTATTTGTCAATCTCTAAAAGGTAACATTAACTGATATATCCAAATACAAACCATTATCTACTCCTTTAGAATCCCTAGAGTAAGTCCCATAATTATGCTGATAATAGGAACTGTAGTCTGCCTACACAAAAAAAAAAATATTAATTTGATATTACATTAAATATCCAAAACCTTCTTTAAGCATTTTCCTGTTTAAAAATGAGTTAAACTTTGTTTTTAATCTATTTTGATATATTGTAATGAGTACATAGTTTAATTTTTGGATACTTTAAATATCCTCTATAGTTATTGATTCATTTGAAAACCTGTTTGAAAACAATCCAATTTCTGCAATATAAGAGAATGTTTTTCTGAAAGGTCAAAAACTTATATTCACTAATAATTCACATAAAATGTTATTTAATTAAGCACACAGACAAGCTATACAATTTTTACAACAAAAAATAACAGTTTCTAGGGGAACATAATTTTGTAAACATATCCATGTGAAAGGTCATTCTCTATTATATAAATATGAAAATATAATAAAGTTTAAGTGCTTGTTTTCCTAATCTGTTATAAAAATATTCAGTTTTTGTCTATCCTGAAAACATGCATGCATCTTACTATCTAAATGTTCAGGCATGTGCAACTCATTTCAATAAATGTAAACAAAAGGCAGATGTAGATATAATTTGGTAGACATTTTGTACAATGTATTAAAAACTTATCCACGTTTTTAAAAAGGTCCAACATTTGGTCATAGAAAAACGTTACAGGTTTATTTATTGACAGTATTAAGTACAGTAAAGTTTAGCCCTAACTAAACTAAAGCAAAAACATACATAAGTCACAAGATAAAATGTTAATTTATCTTTTTATCAAATCTAGGCCATATTTAACTCTTTCAACCTGGGCTTGGTCCCTGGTACCAACCTCATAACCATTTTGTGCTTGTTATAGTTTTCATGCTATAGCTTTTAAATTAATAAGCAAATGTTAATGAAGTTTGGCAGTTTATCAGTAAACATTACAATGCTTTCATACAAAAAATATCTAATTTTTTTTATTAAGTCTTAAAGTTTGTAAAGCAATGTTTCTCTCATGCCTTTTTTCTTTTCACATCTTGCCTATCTATCCTGCAAAGTTATTTTCATTTTAAGATTAAAATTACTTTTATGCATCAGAAAATTTTGAAATTTCACACGCGAAATCTTTATAATGTCCGGATAGTTATCAAAC